AAAATGTCTAAGAATTGGTACCTCAGGGCTTGTTCAGGTCCCCTGGAGTTCCCTCCCAACCCCTAATGGCCTGGCACAAACAATTTAGTGGTAGAATGAGGGAGTAAGTAGGAGGACGGTGTCTAGAAGCTGAGGTCAGCAATTATTTAACAATGGGGAGGAATTCCAACATGCTAACAAACAGGACTCACGGTGGGGAGGACAGCCCGAACATCAGCCTCCCTTTCTCCAGACGAAATCAGCCTCCCTCTCCCAATACTTTGCCACCACCATCACCTTTGACCTGGAAATTTCACATCCTATCCAATCTCCACAGTACACTAACTTCTGAGAGAAAAATCTGATATCTTCACTCTCCTGCTTTAAACTTTTCAATGCAATGGCTCCCACTGTCTTAGAATAAAGTCAAAGCCATTCAGGAACAGGTCTCTGCTTATCTTTCTCGCCACACTTTGCACTGCTCCCCACACCCTTCCTTACTTTTAAGTACCAGCCAAAAGACTCTGTCAGCCTCCATCCTAAAGGTACAATGCTCACTCGTGCCTCCAGGTGTCCCGTCCCCCCTACCCCCCCCCCATAAATTCTTACCTGAGCAACTCCTATTCAACACCCAGGTTTTAGCTTAAAATACCAAATCCTCCATGAGCCCCTCTCTGAGGCCAGCGCTGAGTCAGGCACCTTGCGCAGCTCATCAAAAGCTCTAAACACACCCTATCACAGAATACTGTAACTGCCCACCCCCTTACCTATAACCCGTCTGGGAGACTCGAGACTCTGCAAAGCAAGGGATATCCTAAGAACTCAACAAAGACAGTATGAACAAAGCAATCAATCATCAAGTTAAAACTATGTTGAGGCCAGCCCGGTGGTGTAGTGGTTAAGTTCACATGCTTGGCCTCGGCGGCCCGGGGTTCCCAGGTTCAGATGCCAGGCGTGGACCGACACACCGCTTGTCAAGCCATGCTGTGGCAGCATCCCATATAAAGTAGAGGAAGATGGGCAAAGATGTTAGCTCAGGGCCAATCTTCCTCAGCAAAAAGAGGAGGATTGGCAATGGATGTTAGCTCAGGGCTAATCTTCCTCACACACACACAAAAAAGTTAAAACTACGTAACTAAATGTAATAAGAGTCTAGTTGAGTACTATCATTACTCCTTTAAGACTGAAATCACAGAAATACACAATCATATCAGGAAAATTTTCTTGAAAATAATCATTTTATGTTTTGTTGAAAAACTTCAGAATCCCAAGAAGGATAAAAATTCAGATTACTACCTTTTTTCCCCCTGCCCCCATACACACAGGCAATTATTTAAAAGGGTAGAGAAAACATATGCAACTCTTTAAAAGGCACTAAAAATTTGATATTCTTATCCTAGAAATCCAACATAATTGTAAAATAGGAACAAAAATTTCTTGAGGAAACAGAACTACCAACTTTAAAATAAATATAATATTTAAGCAAGTCTTTATGCTGTATCTTGTTCCAAAATGAACTTAAACCAGATTACAAAAATACACACAACACAACAAAATAAAATAAAATTTAAAGTAAGTAAAGAAACCTCAATAGAAAAAACACAAGGGTAAAAGACAAATTTAGAAATGAGGTTAGGACACAAACTATATGCTTCATGGTTCTGTATATTTGCAAAAGATGCATCAAAAGTGTGGCTCTATGCTTACTGGTGGTCCATCACATTCACTGGACTGTGTGAATACTGATACCGTCATCTTGCCACACCTTATATATATTTCCCAGGTCTTCTATCAATACCATCTTTCTTCTTCTTAATTCTAAAATCTCACACTCACAGTTTTTATCATTCAACTTTTCTATTTAGAAATTTTTCTTTTAAAAAAATATCCACAGGGGCCGGCCCTGTGGCATAGCGGTTAAGTGCGTGCGCTCCGCTGCTGGCGGCCCAGGTTCGGATCCCGGGCGCGCACCAATGCATGGTTTGTCATGCCATGCTGTGGCTGTGTCCCACATCAAGTAGAGGAAGATGGGCACGGATGTTAGCCCAGGGCTGGTCTTCCTCAGCAAAAAGAGGAGGATTGGCATGGATGTTAGCTCAGGGCTGATCTTCCTTCCCCCCAAAAAAGAAAACAAAAATAAAAAAAATATCCACAGATAACAGTCTATAGGATCACTGTATTTCCTTTCCAGTGACAAGCTCCTAATCTCTGGGATTCTTGCCAGAGCATAGCTCAGGACCCTAAGGAGGCAGGCCATACCTCTCACTGTAATGCCAAAACTGCCTCTTCTTAAGTATAGTTTACATTAGGCCAGAAAGTTACACGTATTTAAACTGTGTGGTGATTTAACAACCACTTTCTCTTTTACATAAAATAAGATGACAACGATGACAATTTTGTGCTAGAATAAAATCAAGTTTTGTGTTCACCCAGTTCTAAATCACATACCAACAGCTTCAACTGCAGGCGAAAGATCATAACATCAAAGCACATTTTGATTCACTCTGAAACAAATCTTTTCAAACAAATTCCTTTTGCTCTACCAAGATTTATGTACGAAACCTGAAGTCTTCTATCCTCCACCCTTCAATAGAGGCACTTGGAATGTAGTTAAGCGGATTGTTCCAGCTGTTTAAACTACAATCCCATGAGCCCGCCTCCTGGAGGCACTTGAGGCTTTCCGTACTTGAAAACTAATAGAATGGGTCAGTCAAAGGACGCACTTGAGGTCTGCATGTGATAAAAGTTGGGAGTGGGGGAACTATTAAGAAACCGAGAAGGTACTAGAGGTACATAATAAAACTAATTTTAAAAATACATTTTATAGCAATTACTGAAAAACATTTGGAATAGTACACCTTACTGTGCTATTTAAATACTGGCAACATCAATTTATTTGCTTCACTATTTTCATAAAACTGGATATCAAACTCTCCAGTATACTTCCTAACCACTTCTTATTGACATATACTTTGAAAAACCACCTATGCTTATAACTCAACTGCTAGTGTAACTAAGAACTTTTTGTTACACATTAGTTTTATTCTTTTAATAGAAATAACAACCATCTCTGTCATTACTTTTTGGTCCTTCACATGCTATGATGAATAAACTTTTTCTTAATAATGCCTATTTATATTTGCCTAACCAATATAACTATCAAGGGGGCTGGCCCGGCGGCACAGTGGTTCAGTTCACATGCTCTGCTTTGGTGGCCCAGGAATTGCGGGTTTGGATCCCAAGCGCAGATCTACGTACTGTTCATCAAGCCATGCTGTGGCAGCATCCCACATACAAAATAGAGGAAGAAGTGCACAGACGTTAGCTCAGGGACAATCTTCCTCATGCAAAAATAGGAAGACTGGCAACAGATGTTAGCACAGGGCCAACCTTCCTCACCAAAAACAAACAAACAACAACAAAATATATACACATATATATACACATACACATATATATACACATATATATATACACACATATATATACACATACATATATACACACATATATATATACACATATATATATATACACACACACACATATATATACATATATATAAAACTATCAAAGAACTAAGATCTTCACTACTTTATTTGAAACTCACAAACAACCTTGTCAACAGATGTTATAATTTCCATTTTATAGGTAAGGAAACTGAGATAGTAGCCACATTATATATCAATACAAACACACATGAATCCATTGTTTTGGGGCAGGTTTATCTAATGATTAAGGGGTGATGATGCCATCTGAAATATATTTTATTCCTTCTATCAAAAGATCAAATCAATCTAAACAAACCCATAGCTATCTAATTTCCATACATTTAACACAGGAATATTGCCCTGATTGCCTTACTACATCATAAACTTCATCAATTATAATCCCAAGACCATTGCTAACACACACCAAGAGAGTAACTAAACTACCCAAAATTACTCAGAACACAAACACACCTTGGCAATTACATGAAAACTAAATAAATAAACAACTAAAGCACTCTAGTCTTTAAATGCATTGCTAGGAAAACGCCACATATCAACACGTTCACTTCTTGAGAACTGCCACTGCTTGAGGCACGCAAATTTGGCAAGAAAAAAATGTGTAATGAGAATTCTCCTGTCCTGTGAAGCAACTGCACCTCAGAAGTTGCTCATGTTCAAATACTACACATCAATTAAAAGCCTCTTATCATGACAGACAACCATAACAAATTTAGCTGAATGGAGTATAGGTCCAGATATTGTTGAGGCATCATAGGTTTCTATCTCCTACAGACTTAAGCAAGACTAAATTTCTTTCACCTTGAGTTAAATGAGAGAAAATGCAATTCATATTTCCAGAAGCAAGAGTGGCATATTTTCCAGTAAGTTTCTTGTTCTCATTTTACTATTTTAAGAGTTCTGATCATCCCAGTGTTGCTGTGTGGCAAGATCTGACTTCTGGTGGCTGATCATTTTCATGGCATGATGCTTTACTAAAACCGTCTCCAAAAACTGTTTTTATTCATATTTAGCTTCAGTGTATTTATATACAAAATACCATTTCAATGGCGTTGTGCCAAGAAAAGAAATAGCTTGCTAGAATTTCAGTTGACTTTGTTAAAGGAAATTATTTTAAATTAATGTGGCTACTGAACTGCTGCCATCCTTAACCTCAGAAAATATATTCCTTCTAATTTTTGCTGTGAACATTTATTTATTTAAGTTAGATTCCAGCTCATGAATGTTGACGATCAGGAGTCTAAACCTTCCTGCTACTATTTCATACTCTTTTTCTAAACAAGGGCAAGCACATGTTTGCTGCATTAGTATGCACAGCCAGATCACCCCCATTAAGTGAAATCATCTATGTATTTTTGGTAGAATCCTTAACTTCCACGCCCATCAGTGAAATGGAACAAGGCTGTTTTGTTTGCAGAGAGCAACAATTTGATCTCTGGTTTACTAGATGGTGCTTGAAATATTTTTCCATATGTTTTTCCACAAAGAGAATCTGACATCAGCATGGTTTACCTTAACCAGTGAATGCAGGCTTTTTTCACCAAACATATCCCAGAGGAAGGTCAGGTCTTCCTGGCTATCCACATGTGGCTGCAGCTGGGCTGGCAGAGCAGCCAACAGTTCATACAGACCTATAAAATGAAAATAAAACACAAAGTGTAATCTCAGAGTGATCTCATCAATATCGCTTAAGGTGTGTATAAATGACGGCTGGAACATGTCATTTTTACTGGATTTGTATTCTGGGCCATCAAGCTAAACACTTCTCCAAAGAAGCAAAGGAAGCTTTTTGATTTTTAAATTCCAAAGAAGTATGTATTAACAGGCTAGTTTTTACCTTTCACCGTTGTTAACATTCTACAGTCATCCAAGTTTACATAACCTGAGACAGAAAATGTGTACAAGCTTACAAAAAAAGAAGAAAACGCATACATTCCTTTCCTTAATCGTTATTACATTTCCCTCAATGTTAGCCAGAGTGAAATGAGTCATGAATAGGAAAAACTTCCTTAGAAGAGCAGAAAATTGATAGAGTGGTCCATTAAAAAGGTCTTGTGGTTTCCAAATAGTTACTAATAATATATAGCTTCAAAAACATGTGCACTACCTAACGTCCAAACAAGTTCTAAGAAGACAGAATAAACCATAATTGGCGCTGCGTTATTGTAGTCACTCATTTTTAAAACAGCAACAACAATAAACTACATAGAACTTAATTTAAATTTGACTCTACTCTGGGGGTATGTGACACCCTCTGAAAGAGCTAAGGCAACAGATGCAGGTTGCTCATGGCTCTCCCCACTAGAAGCTTCCTAGGAGTAGACAGTAGTGCAGTGTTCCACAGAAGCTACTGCATAAACCATCCATCTTGTTCAGGGGCCGTCAGACTCCTGTCCAAGAAATGCTGCAACAGCGCTTGCCCAAGACTCTTCAGGGAGGTGACCTGGCAGAAGTCAGTATCAACTCAGAGCACATGTTTCATTTTCCAGTGGGATTACATGAGGTAAAAAGGACAAAATTCCTTTTATTTCTGTCTGCCGTCTACAAAAACACCAAGACCTCCTGGGATCTACAACACACGGGACTGTTGTTATTTCTGCTCTGAATAAGTGCTGTTGTTCATCACAGGGACAGGTTTACAAGGTATTTAACTAGCAAAGAATCATAGGGTAAATTATGGGCTGCTGATTAGTATATCTATTATCTTCCTAAAGCATTATAATCTTCTGATAATCAGTGATAATTTACAACCAAATGCATTAGGTTCCACTTGGAAAGTTAGATATGTCACTTGAGAGATTCGATTAAATTCAAACACTCCTGGGGCTGTATTTGGCCAAAAAGATCTAAAACACTCTAGGAAAACAAAAAACTTCTCCCAATTATATACTTAAGTATTCTTGGTGGTTTACATTTATATCCTTAAAAACCTGGCATCCTGCCTAAGATAGCTCTTATTTACAATTTAGGAAAAATATTTTTAAGGTATCTCAACCTAACTCAAAGTATAATAAACAGGTCACATTTTATACATATATACACACACACATTTAAAGTAATCACAATCGCCAAGATCAGTGGTTGAGGTCAAAAGTTCAAAATATGAAACTATGTAAAAAGAAGGCAGAATTTTATTATTATTGATTTCAGGAGTAGTAAAAATAATTACCTATTCCTTCGTAATATGATTAGAGTTTAATTAATGATACTAATTCAACTGTGATATAATTTATGTGGCATAGTTGTTGCAGGGATTAAATGAGTTAATACCCTAGAACAGTCCCTGGCACATGGTAAGTACTCGATATGTTTCATATGTAACTCAGTGAGTTTCAACCATTGTATTATTGATTATTATTGCTATTAATCTTTATTATAACTGAAAAAGCAAAAGTTTGGATCAAACAAACCTAGAATCAAACTCTGGGTCTAAACTTGAAGCATTCCACATAACTGATTTGAGCCTTGTGTGCTGAGAAACAGTAACCTAGACACATGGTAAAACTGTACAGAACTAAATATACAAACATATATACACATATATACACAAACGAGCAAATGAGCACATGTAAAACTGGTGAAATCTGGAAAAGGTCAATGGCTTGCGTCAATGACGATTTCCTAGTTGTGATATTCTACTACAGTTACACAAGATGCTACCATTGGAGGAAACTGGGTGAAGGGCACACAGGATCTCTCCGTATTATTTCTTACAACATGAGAATCTATAATTATCTCAAAATAAAGTTAAAACAAGAAGAAACTGTGGTAAATATGGTTGTTGTAAGAATTCAGTGGAACAATGTACACGGCAGCATTTAGCCCTGTGGCTGGCAGCGTAGGCGTCCGATAAAAAGTAATGTTCCTGGGCTGTCCCAGTGGCATGGTGGTTAAGTTTGCACAGTCCGCTTTGGTGGCCCGGGGTTTGCAGGTTCAGATCCCAGGCATATTTTCTTCCAAGTAAAATAAATAAACATTTAGGCTGCTGATGAAATATTCAAACACCTAATTAATTTTCAGGGATGTTGAGAAGATGCTCATGACTACTTATAACATGTAAATTATAATTTAGTTAGGAACACATACTTTGAATTACCTATTGAGTAAAATATATTAATTTAGATATTTGGTTTTTGCCCCACTTGCACATTTCACGCAACCATTTTATTCAAATTCTTCACAATGAAATTCTTCCTCATCACTAGTGCCACTTATAGAGTTAGAACGGATCATTCTCACTTCTAGATAAGTTATTTGAGACACAGCATTTTTCTGATATGTGGGAGATGCCTTCACTGAGAATCTGGGTAAAGTTGATCTGTTTTGCATTTGTTCTACAGGATGTTTTTGATCTCCACAACAAAACCACTTACCTACCCCTCTCCAAGGAATAATAACTAACTCTGGTTTAAACTTGTCTCCTTTTTTTTAAAACAAATCTGTCAAGTGATCTCAATAATCCCGCAAAATATGAATTTGGGTTGTATGAGAATTAACTGTGTCTTCTCCATTCAATACATTTTTGTGTAAATGAATAACACAGCAAGTTCTCTATAGGAGATTTTGTAAGGACTTGAATATAAGGAATATCTCTCTTCTGAGAGATCATTTTAAGGTAGAAAAAAACCTCACCTTACTTTTGGGTACATATGATACAAGACACCGTCAAAGATACATGTGAAGAGTTTGAATAAAATTCTTTCATAAATATGTTCCAGTGGAGAAAAAGCAATATTTTTAAATTAGTGTATTCTATATACTGAGAGAAAAGAAAGCAACAGCAAAACTAAAATGTCAAGGGTCACCTGATTAATATGTACAATAATTACAGCAATTTAAAGAAGAGAGCAATCAATAAAGGTTAGAGACGGCTACAATGGAGCTGGCAGGATATGAACTGGGCTGTAAAGGAAGGAAAATAGGGCCTGGAAGGGTGCATTCTAGGTTGGAAAACACCCAAGGTGAAAAGTCAGCAATAATCATGTAAATTTGCAGATTTTTTAAATGCACTAAATTTCTGTAACACTGAAGAAAATACTAGTGAGTACTCAAATTCAAATTTCTGCTTTGTGTGTTTGCATCAGTCATGGTCCAATCTGGAGACAAGAGCTATGCTGTAATGTGAACAAGGAAAGTTTAATATAAATAATAATTAGCAATAATAGGATTATCTATAAAGTGATAAAGAAAAATTTCAAGATACCTAGGGCTGAAGGAGAGAACCTAGAAAAGAAAAAACCTTGGAAGAGGGGCTCCCTCCCCAAGACTAGGATTCAAAGCTCATGGGAGAAGATGTCATTACAACCCACTAGATGGCTGGGTTTCCCTGGGCCAGAGCTTGTCCACCAGCACTGGGCCAGCACGAAACATCCCTCCAGGATGCAGGTGGGCAGGAAACCACGGCTGGGACTATCAAGTGGGAAATGTTTCTTCTCCAGGGTGTGCCTGGAGGTCAAGGCTGGGAAGCTGACTTCTAGGGTGCCTGAGAGGCTCACTCCGAATCTACCTAGAGTTGTGTAGCGGAAACTCAAAAGGAAGCTGTCCACTAGGGTGCCACTATAACTCGATGCTTCCCATACGTGCTGCTAGCAATCCCATGAGAAGCAGGAAGAAGCATATGAAAAACACCAGAACAAGGAAGAGACACCCCTTCCTCCTGCAGTGTCCCTCTAGTACCCCCTCCTGTCAAAGCTTAACGATGTCCCAGAAGCAACAAAGAAATATTTAAAGGGCCCACCTTCCGCAGTGGTTAAGTGCGCACACTCCGCTTCGGCGGCCCGGGGTTCGCAGGTTTGGATCACCGACTTGCCGCTTGTCAAGCCATGCTGTGGCGGCGTCCCATATAAAGTAGAGGAATATGGGCATGGATGTTAGCCCAGGGCCAATCTTCCTCAGCAAAAGAGAGGAGGATTGGCATTGGATGTTAGCTCAGGGCTGATCTTCCTCACAAAAAAACAGAAAAATAAAGGGCCCACCTTCATTTTCACAAGGGAGGCAAAGAAGTATGGATTTGGAGCTGAGAGGCAATACAATGATACCTGGCTCAATCCTCTATACACAGATTAAAGTGTGTGTGGGGAGGGAGAGTAGACGTTTCTCTGCTTTTTACGGGGAGGGAGGTTATCTCTCTGCTTTTGTTTTGGTGTAGCTTTCTGTTGTCTGGCAGTGTGGGGACACAATGAAAAATATTTAACTAGTGATTAGTGAAGGTAAAGCATTTACTAACGTGGATACGAAAGGAAGATACTATTAAATCAAAGGCGGTATTTACAACGTTTGCCTGTTTTAACAGTATCTAACCTAGATCCAAAATCTCAGCTGGAGGACATTAAGTCAAAGTTCTAAGTTCAACAGATGACAAACGGAGAACATTCTTACCTATCAAAAGGACTCTCTTAACTTCATCCTCCTCACAAGTGTATGGTATTTACAAAAAGAGGACAGAGATAGATTGCTGTGTTCTAGCATTAAAAAATAGTAATAATCCCTAAAAGTGCAAAAACAATACAAAGTACATAGTGGGCAAAATTTGTAGGGGCTAAGCAAGGTGTTTATAGTACGAGGAACTAACTGCAGAGAGATGCAAAGGAGCTGTAACATTTTTAAATTGGTTATTGAAGAGAGGCAGAGT